TGTGCACACCTAAGCCTAGAGGTGAGGGCTGTAAGGGCTCCAGAGGCCAGAGATGGCAATAAAAGGAAGAGACCATGAGAACACCAGAGAAAGCCCAAGGAAGAACGTTAGAGAGATTCACAAAGGCTCAAATTGCTGTCTCTGTAGGCCCGTTTCCCCACTTACCATTAAAACCTGTGAAAATGATGCCAAGAGGCTCCAAAATTCTCTTTCAAATCACTAGACACTACCTGCCTGGGATGATTACAAAACACTCCCCTACATAGAAAACCACAAGCTGCACCTGTGAATTCATCCAACTATTTAGTGAAGGAGCAACAGCAATCTTGGCACGAACTGTTCCACAGAATAGGTGCAAAGGAAATCATTCCTAACATTTTTAGTGAGGTCAGCATAACATGCCAAAGACCTCACAAGGACTGAACAAATGCAAAATTCTTAATAAAGTCTAAGTCAACTGAAACCACTAAAAAATCAAAAAAATATTATATCAGAACCCAAAAATATTGTATTCCAGGGATGCAGGAGTAGCAGAACTTCCAAAAAACAATCATACATTTTACCAAAATGACAAGTATAAATAAAATCAGATCAACATCTCAAAATATACAGTAATCAGTTGCATTTCTATATATTAACAACTGGAAAATCATATTTTTTAAAAAATGCTGTAAACAATAGTATCAAGAAATATCAAGTACCTTGGAATAAACGTTAACAAAAATTGTGTCAGACAGTCACTGAAAAGAAAATAATCATTACAAACAGATATTAAAGAAAACCTGAATAGAGAGATACACTGTGTTCATGAATTTGAAATTTAAACTCAATAATATAACAGCAATTTGCCCCAAATGAAACTATATTTTTAATAATTCCAGTTTAAAAAAAATTGTAGGCTTGACATTGACAAGCTTATTATAGAATTCAAGAAATTACTAAAGGTCAACAATATTCCAGAACAATGTTGAAGAATAAAATAAAGCTAAGAGCTGTACACTACAAGTGAAAAGCTGTTGAAGTTAAGAATAGCATTGTAGGCCCTCCCTGGTGCGCAGCGGGTTAAAGCACAGCACTGAAAATCTAAAGCCACTTCCACATGAGTTCGATCCCCGTCTGCCCCGGAGGTGACCACATGGCGTGGCAGACCTCTCCTGACCCGCCTGCTGCTCCCCTCAGCAGTGTACTTCGTCAATCTGCCTGTTCTGTTCCCCTCTCTGTCTCTGGTGAAGCTGCTCACCGCCCTGAGCCTCTGGCCTGCACCCCAGTTCTGTATGCACAAATAAATAAATCTTAAAAAAAAAAAAAAAAAGAATAGCATTGTACTGGCACAAAACAGACAAATCATCACCTGACTTATATCAGCAGCTGCATTATAATAAGAAACGGGTAATGTTTTAAATAAATTGCTCCAAGTTTATTGGATAGCTAATACTATTTATTGAGCCCTTTATCATATGTTAAAAAACAATTCCAGATGGGCAGAGGAAAGTGAAACAAAACTATTTTAGAAAAGAGTTAGGAAAAAAATTTCAGAACATTGTAATAAACAAAAGTGTCACCAAAGTATCACAAGTAGCATATATACAGCACTATCCATACAAGAAAAATCTGGATACTATATTAAAATTAAGAATTTCTGGTCATTAAAAGACAGCATTAAGAGAATGACAGGTGAGCCATTAGCATGAGACAAAATATAAATATATATATATGGTAAAGGTCTGATAACCAGAATATAAAAAAGAACTGCACGTCATTTAAAAAAAATATTACCAAACAGAAAAACATACGAAAGACTTGAACAAGACTTGAGCATCCACTTCACCAAAGAATGCCAAAAGGACAAAGTAGCTGACTGCATTAATCAGAAATTGAAGGCTAAAACCCCAAAACAAAGCTTCTATACACCTTTCAAAATGGCTATTTTTTTGTTGTTGTTGTTGTTAACTGCAAAAGCACAGTGATATTGATTAGAGCAACTAGAGCACTCATCAACTGTTGATGAAATATAAGCTGATAGGACCATTTAGGAAACTTATAAAGATGAACATATCAAAACATTATGATCCAGTAATTCACTGGCATATACCTAACAGAAATGTGTATTAGAATATTCACAGTAGCATTACTGCAATAGCCAGAAACTGGAACCCAAATATCCACCAATCGGTGAATGGATAAATTGTATTTCTGCACAATAAAAAATAATGGAAATTGGATACACACAACAATATGAATGGATCTCAAAAATACTTAGAGCAGAGGACTAAGCCACAAAATGTATGTGTGTGTATGATTCTGTTTCTGTAAAGTACACAGACAATAATATGGTTGATATAATGCAGAGCTGAATAACCCATACAAAAGAGTATATTATGATTCCTTTCCTTTATGGTACAGAGAACGTAAAAGCATGCTATTAGAAGTTAGGATAATGATTATCCTTTGGAAAATGATAGCTCTTGGCAGCACAAAGGCAGCTTCTGAGGTGTTAGAAAGGTTCTGTTTATCCTGATCAGATGAACTGTATGCTCGTGCTTACAAGCGAGTTCATGTATGTAGATTATACTTCAGTAAAAATGTGAACTTATTTTAAAAGGCAAAAGAAAATACATGCCTACAAACCAGTAACAAGTATTTGACAAAAACATACATGATGAAAGAAACAGAAATGGGGTGTCAAGAAGGCTAGTGGGGGACTGAAGCAAAGGACCCCTCCAGCCCTCCCCCTACCCCCAAGCAGAAGTGCTCTGGTTGGGGCTCACACAGCTTCTTTCAGAAGCACTTCTAGCCTGGGAAGGAGGCCTGCACAGCCCAAACTCCTGGAGGCTGAAAACAGTCCTGGAGAAACCCCCTCATCCCAGGTACTGGCTTCCCACCATCTAAAGGCGGGCTCCTATAAAATCCCTCCTGCCCTCTGCCAAAGAGGTGTCAAGCAAAGAAGCAGTTACCATTAATTTACATGGAAAAATTAAGGGGCATCCCCAGACCCAAAATAACCTACCAAATTATACCAAATAACACACAAAACCTAAAATAACACTAACATAAGTAAAAGCAGAAATACGATGATACATACATGGCCAGTAAAAAGTCATTGCTGGGAAGGAGCTCGGCGGGCTGCTAGCTGCTCAGGTGCACGCTGCCTCCAGACTCCCATAGAACTGAACGCTAGTTTTGCCTTTCGCCTTTGTCGTAAATGTGAAAATCGTCAAATTTCTTCAGGTGTGCAAAATCAGGTACTAATGTAGGTCTTTGATAATAGTCAAGTGTCTTCATAATGGGGTGGGTCTTCAAAAAGCAGAGGATACTGGGCCCTCCCTGGTGGCGTAGTGGGCTAAAAAGCACAGCACTAAGAGGCTAAAGCCACTGCAGCGTGAGTTCGATCCCCACCTGCCCCGGAGGTGATCCACATGTTCAGCAGACCACTGCTCCCCTCTCAGCAGTGTACTTCATCAGTTGGGCCTGTTCTGCTCCCCATTCTGTGTCTGGTGAGTCCTCTCACCACCTCTGGCCTATACCCCAGTTCTGCATGCATAAATAAATCTTAAAAAAAAAAAAACATAAAAAGTAGAGGATAGCTGTATCTTAAAAATTAGTCTAAACTGTCTATCTGCCTACCTTCATACACACACACATCCCTTTATCACGATCAGGAATGCCGGGTTCAATTTTGGAATCCTGTCTCCCCATGGGGCCTTCTTCCCAGCCCAGGTTAAGTCCCACATGTCAAGAAGTCTCACAGTTATACATGTGGGCACCCCAGGACTTCCGAGGTCCATCTAAAGACCCATAAAGAGAGGTCCAGCATGACACTCCATAGGCGGAAACACCTGAGGAAAAGACTTGCCAGGCCCCTGAGCCCGGCTGCACTCTGCAGAGCAGGGAGGGACAGCATCCCAGGGGCTAGCAGAGAGGTCTAGAGCAGGCGATGGGCTGTGAGTGGCCACAAGCCCTGGCCCTATGGGCTTCTTGCCTGCGGGAAGGACAAGGCCAGGAAACCAGAGGCCAAGGTCAGAGTCTCTCTTCACAGCCAAGTCCAAGGGACCCTAGAGAGCCTAAGAGCTGACCCGTCCCCTCCACGTTGCAGTTCACAAAGCACCTTCACAGGTAATACTCAAAATCAGTATCCACAATCTTGTACAACTACCACAGGACACCAGCCGATCTATGACGATACTGAGCCAAAAGTGCCTTGCCTGAAGTCTTACAACAACAAAAGATTCCTCCTAGGTCTACAGGGGAAAGAAGGCTTTTCCTTCCAGATTTCCAAGGCGACAGTCTTTCCACTACTCAACTCTGCTACGGGTCTGTTAGCTGTCTGGAAACCCAATGGAGGGGGGGGGAGGGCGGAGGGCGTGGAATTTTTAACATCACTTATATGGAAATTGTTAATACATGATTGAAGAATTTTGGGAGAAGACCAGAAGCAGGGAAGGAAATTTAACACCAAATACAGAGCAGTTTCTGGGAAAGAGCCTGGACCCAAAGCAAAAGTCTTCATCGGGACAAAGAATACTGTGCAGTAATAGCAATCCAAGCTGAGTCTTGGGGGTTCCATTCCCTCCCCAAGCCACAAAATGAGGGCCTTCAACACATATAAGCAATCTCCACCCAAATTCCACACCAATTACATGGGGGTGCCTTACTCCACAACCCTCCTTCTCCTACCACCCCTCCAAAAATACCTTATTAATGAGAAGGTATCCTAAATCCACAGGACTCCATCTGCTCAGGGATAGTCCAGAGAGCAGCCTGGCACCAGGCCCAGCAGACACCCGACCCTCCTCCAGCGAGGACACGCTGGGCTGGGCCTCCCTCTAATTACCAGGTGCCTGGCTGAGGACCTGGTCAGCTATTTAGAGAACCAGTGCCTGCTCCTAGCACAGATATCTGCGAGACTGAGGCTGCAGGCACTGAATGATCCTGCCATCGCCTCCTTCAGCTCTTCTGGGACTCCCTCCTGCCACTGCTGAAGCCCAGAGTCCAGCAGCGCCATGTCTCTCGCACACACGGCTGCAGAGTACATGCTCTCGGATGCCCTGCTGCCGGACCGCAGGGGCCCCCGCCTCAAAGGACTGCGCCTGGAACTTCCCCTGGACCAGATGGTCAAGTTCATAGCGGTGGGCTTCCCCTTGCTGCTGATGTCCCTGGCCTTTGCCCAGGAATTCTCCTCCGGTGAGTGGCTTCTAAGACCTAGTAGAGACAGGCTCTACTCAGTCTCACACTCTGCAGGGGCTCTGAGCCAGACAGCTCCCACATTGTGTAGATTTCATGACTTCGGTCTGGGTGTTCTGAGTCTGGGACACCAGCAAAACAGAGGCACCAAAAAAAAAAAAAATTTGAGATTCATTTCCAAAATTTTAGAGTAGAAAGTATTTTTTAATTTTAATATTCCTATATTAAATAATTAAATAATTCAATAATTCCTGTATTAAGTAATTCAATAATTCCTATATTGCAATAATTACAGTTGTGTACTGGTTTTCATGTGAACGAGAGCGACTGGGACCCTGTAAACTTTTTCAGGATCTAGGGTCTCTGAAGTTCATGCTTCAGACAAGTCTGTTCTCCAAGCCTCTTCCCACTTCTTAACTCCAGGATTTCAGACTTGAGAGCAGGTTAAGTGCCTGACAGAGCCTGGCTATCACTGGTGCTGGATAAACCCCCTCCTCCCTCTCCCCACACCCGTCACACACTCAAATATTCACAAACACCCATTTCTCATGTTCTAAGGGCTACATTATTTCAGCAAATCTGCCCCCCTATAAAAAATTTCCTGCCAATCGCAATGTCTGGCTTTCTTTTCCAACTGTGTGATCAGCTTCAAATGTCTCCCCAGGACGTGTGTCAGCTGCCTCTTCACTCATGCACACGATGGGGAGGACTTACTGGTCCTCTTTTCTGTTTCTTCCTTGAGCATGACGGGAAATCAAAAAAGCCAGAGACTGTCCTTCCAAACTCACTTTTCCTTCCAGCACCACGTGCCTACCATTTCTCCCTGTTGGGCTCAGCAGTCCTAGCGTAGATCCTCTAAGTTTTAGATGAAAAGCTGCCAGCCCTCTCAGGTAGGAGACTGCAAGCTCTGATGCCAACAGCAGGCAGGCAGGAAGCCCAGATGCCCAGGCCTGGGAGCCCAGGGGGAGCTCAGAGAGGAAAGAACCAAGTGGCAGTTGCCAAAGGCTAATCAGACATGGGCAGGCCTGGGCCCAGTGGCAGAGCTCCTGCCCCACACGCATCCTATAGTGGCAGGGCAGTGCCCTGCCCAGGACAGGGGGACATGAGAAGAAAGTGACTGCCCAGTACAGAAAGTAGCAGGACTGCAGAGACAACCACTAGAAAACTCACAGCGATGGCACCACAGAGATTCCATTTCTGCAGCCCAACGCAGGCTGCCTAAAGGTGTACTCCCGTTCCAGGGTCTCCCATCAGCTGCTTCCCTCCCAGTAACTTCAGCGTCCGGCAGGCGGCCTACGTGGACAGTTGCTGCTGGGAGTCACTGGTTCACCACGAGCAGGATGAGCCTGGCCGGTACAAGATGAAATCCCTCTGGCCTCACAAGGTAAGGTGCGCTGGGATTCAGGGCTGAATGGAGCTGGAGGGAACTGCATTCTCTCTTGTCTCTTCACCATGCTCTTCCAGCAACACCCTACTAGCCTTCATGCCCCTCTTACCCCTCTTACCCCTGCCTCCTGTTTGCATTTGCAAACAGATGGTCATCAGTGGTCGCCCACTTTTATCTGATGAGAAGCTTAGCTCCAATGAGCAAGCCTGGTTGGCTGGCAGTCTTCTCCTCAAGTGGCCCCTTTGGGCCATTTCATCAAATATCAGTATCAGGATCCTACTCTTGGGCTGCTGGGTTTTCCCAAGAAGAATCACTTGATGCTCAGTTTGTGTGGTAGGCACAAGATGGAGCGGCCACCGAGCTTGGTTGCCAGCCCTCTGGGAACCCACCTGTGAATCTCAGCATGTAGTATTCATTCAGTTTAGTCCCTGTTCTCAGTATGGTCCCCCTGCTCTCACTGGCCCCAAGTACAGAATCTCTCAGATTTAATGTTTCCAAAGAATAATGTGTAAGATGCCTGTTGGGGCAGTAGTCTGTGAGTGGATGCAGTGCATCCAGTTATAGAAAGGCCTGCTTTTTGTTTGTTTGTTTGTTTGTTTGTTTTCAATATTCCTGTTTTCAGCCTTGCCTGTGCCCCCATTTTCAGATGTTCCTGCTGTGTCCAGTTCTGAGCCTTTCTGGTTATATAGTAGAAAACCTCTTCTTGGCCCGCCTCAGTTCCCCGTATTCCACCGGCTGGACTCCTCTACCATGTAACTGCTGTCCAGTTTTCCACATTTTGTTGCTCTAGTCTCCTTTCCTGTTTTTCTTTGATCCTATAGGGTTATTTTTTTTTTAATTATGTACATGGCATAAGGGAGCAGAAATTATATGCAATTCACAATGTCTAATCTGAAGTCACTGTTAACATTATGACAATTGATAAGGCCTCAAAATGCCACAAAATGTCACAGGCCCTGACAAAACCAGTGGAAAGGGTTCCAAAACCCTGGGAAGGGTTCTTGAGGCCTTGTGCACAAATGTCACTGCAAACATTTAAGGAAATTCTAGGTGGTGGCAAGTTCAAGAATTTGCAGCAGGGTCTCTTTTGTCAGAAGAGTCAAACTGTCTGATCCCAGAATCACCTAAGATTCTTTTGGTCCAGATTCGTGGACCCAACTTCAAACCTCCTGAATTGGAATCCCTACAGGTGAAGAGTTAATTTTCAAGAAATGTCATTTCTTGAGCAAAAGGGGAAAGGTTCTTTAAAAAAAAAAAAAGATGTATTTTCTTTAATTATGCATAAAAGAGCTGGAGTGTAGGCCAGAGGTACAGGGGAAAGGGAGTGTAAGAGGACTCACTAGAGACAGAAAGGGGAACAGAACAGGAATATACACTGACATAGACTGCTGAGGAGAGCAGCAGAGGAGACAGGAGAGGTCTGCTGCACCATGTGGGTCAGCTCCCTGCCCAGAACTAGAGCAGTGACTACTGATAGCTTCATAGTGTTGAGACTTAACCCCTTGCGCCACCAGGGAGGCCCAGAAGGGGAAAGGTTCTAATTTCTTCTTGTGGCCTAGTCTACTTATCCTGACCTCTCTCTCTCTTGTTTACTTCAGAAGCACACACATGTCCACATGCACCCCATGGGTATCTTTACCCTCTACTTGAATGAAACCAAATATCAGGTTCCCTCTTTTGCTTCAAACGCTCCTCTAAAATAAAAAGCAGCCCTAGTTCAGGAGAAGCTGAGGAGAAGCTGCTAAGAGAATAAGCTCCCACATCAGATTTTGTTCCAAGTCCTGCTCATTCAAACACTAGTTGTGTAGCCCAGGACAGGTTACTTAATCTTTCCAGGCTTTGGTTTCTTCGCTGTAAAATAGCAATGCTAATTGTACCTGCTGATAGCCTCCTCAGGAGATGGAATGAAACAATGCTCACTAAGTCCACTACTTCAGGCCAAAGAGTGGGCCCAGTGCTGTAAGGTGTGGTAAACAGGATGAGGAGGCTTAAGGGAAAGTGCCTTATTTCACATCACTAATAGTATAAATGAGGACACAAGGCTTATGCCTCCCTTCCTGTCAGCTCAAATGCCTACCAACCATCAAAAGCCCAAAAAGAAATACTTAGATCTGACAGTATTGTTTGATATTACCTAGAAGCCAGAGAAAAGGCCGCAGTACCTGAAAAGAGCTGGGGAAGTCAAATGGGATTTGACCTCCTTTCTGGAGGCTTTAAGTAAAAGTCAGCAATCCCAGGGCTCTCAGTTCCACTTTGAAAGCTAATAGTCTGGAGTCTGCTGAACAGACGCTGAAGCCATCAGAGAAAGAAAACCAAGACAGAAGCTAAGATGTTCTCCCCTGTTGGCCAGGACCTCCAGTTAGCTGCCCAGACAGCATGATGCTGGGAAGTGCATACCCACTCTCATGCTTGCTCTCCTCCATGGGGCTCCCCCACACTTACACAGCCCCCAGATTGAAAAGTGGAACTGGGGAGCAGGCACTCCACCCTCCTTTCTCTCATGGAACTCCCTCTCCTCAGTCAGGTGAGTGGAGAGCTTCACATGACTTCCCTTTCTGAAGCAGCAACCAGGGGATGAAACCCACCCCATCCCCCGAACACTTCTGCCCCACCAGGTCCCAGTGCCATGGGCCCCCCTGAGCTCACTTTCATCCTGCAGGCCCTCCCTTACTCCCTGCTGGCCCTGGCCGTGGCTATGTACCTGCCTGTCCTGCTGTGGCAGTATGCAGCTGTGCCTGCCCTCAGCTCAGATCTGCTGTTCATCATCAGCGAACTGGACAAATCCTACAATCGCTCCATCCGCCTCGTGCAGCACATGCTCAAGATCCGGCAGAAGAGCTCAGATCCCAATGTTTTCTGGGATGAGCTGGAGAAGTGAGTTGACTCTTCCTCTCTTTTCTGAAGAATTCAATGGAGTGTCTGGATGCTAAGCCTGCAGTCATCTTTAAACCATCCTCTGCATCATCCTTTCCAAGAGTGCGAATTGCTTCACACACATCCTCACTAGCTTTCGGTCATGTCTGCTCAGGGAGAGGAGACAGGACTCTGCCTCCAGCTTAAGACAAAGACACCAAGTCACAAAGGGATTCATCTCTCTGAAATACCACCTTCATATGCTTTCACCTACTCAGAAACCTGGGCTATCTCCCCCCACCCACACTGACCGAAAAATATCCAAATTATTCAAATTCTCTAAAGCCATCCTCACACTGTCACCAACGACTTGTTCAAACTGTCCACTCTACCTAGATGGTCCCCTCCTTTTCTCCTAATCAAGTCACTCACTCCTTGAAGTCTTCAGGTCATTTACTGAGTACCAGGCACTACTGGGTTCTGGGCATTTCAGATGTGTGTGTGGGTGCTTCCGGTGTGTTTGTGTGTGTGTGTACGTGTGCGTTAGAGGAAGAAGTGGGGAGGAGTCAAAGTCACACCTAACCAGGTGAGGTTTACATTCTGTTGACAGAAAACAGACAATGTCTATCATCACATAAGCGAACGCTGGGGTAAACAATATGAAGATGTCTAAAAGCAGGAGGAGTGAGGTGTGGTACAGTTTTAAGTGGGGTGGCCGGAGGAGGCATCACCATGAGGGTGTCTGAGTGGGATTCAAAACCATGTTCTGTCTCAAGTTTGAGCATATAATCTACCCTCTGAAAAAAGGTTTTCTCCTATCTGTTTGTCTGCCTGTCTGTCTACCCTTACCTACATTTCAAAGGCCAACTCTAAGGCACTCTTCACCAAAAAGACTTCTGAACAACCCAGCCTACAGTGTCACCTCACTCCTAACTTGTAAGGCTACCACTGTTTGTGTCCATCCTGTTAGCAACAAATCAAGTGCTGTGTTTATTTAATATTTACTACTCGTCTCTGCCCCTTTCTACAAACCAGACTTTAAACGCTTTCAGAACAGGTATTAGAACATCACAGCTCACCAGCACTTACGATCACATTTGTTTTTATACAGTTAGTGAATCGCTTTAAAAAATCACACAGAGGCACTATGGTGATGGCACATGGGTGATTTGGTGATGGGAAACCCAAGGGGATTGCAACTGAGATGGAAAAGTGCACAAAAATATGTAAAAATAAACTATTATTAAAAAAATCACACAGAGGCACATACATGTCAGTTTCCAGTAATGCACACCTGAAACTTACATGATATGATCATGCAATGTTATTTCCAATAAATCTGTAAATAAACAATAGAGGGGGAAATCATACAGTGTATCCAAACAGGAACTAGATTGCACAGTGGATATTTAGACCTTCCAGTCTAGTGCTCATTTAATAAGCCTATTGCTTCATAAGGTTCATACTTCAGCTTAGAATTTCTGCCCGCCTTGCTGAAATCTAATGGGCAGAAATCTAATGTGACCATTCATTATTCATTGATCATTCACTGGGTTTATGTCACTGCCCTCATTGATTGGAGAATTAAGGTAAACTCACATGCTTCTTTTGGGGGAGAGGGATAGTTAGGCTCAGGAAAAGTAAATTTTCAGGTGAGCCCATAATGCCATGTTGGATACAGAAGTCTGGTTACTTACCTACCAGGCTGTCTCAGGATATGGTTTTAAGTGGTCTCTGCTACTAATCTTACCGCTTTTCTTTCCCTCCTTTCTTTCCTTTCCAGGGCTCGGAAAGAGCGATACTTTGAATTTCCCTTGCTGGAGCGGTACCTGGCATGTAAGCAGCGTTCGCATTCACTAGTGGCCACCTACCTCCTGAGGAACTCCCTTTGGCTTGTCCTCACCTCAGCCACCTACCTGTACCTCGGCCACTTCCACCTGGATGTCTTCTTCCAAGAGGAATTCAGCTGTTCCGTCAAGACAGGACTGCTGAGTGATGAGAGCCACATTCCTGAGCTGATCACATGCAGGCTGACCTCCCTGTCTGTCTTCCAGATTGTGAGTCTCTCCAGCATAGCAATATACACCCTTTTGGTTCCTGTGATAATATACAACCTCACACGGCTCTGTCGGTGGGACAAACGACTCCTATCCATTTATGAGATGCTCCCAGCTTTTGATCTTCTCAGCAGGAAGATGCTGGGGTGCCCCATCAATGATCTCAACGTGATCCTTCTCTTCCTCCGAGCCAACATATCTGAGCTCATCTCTTTTAGCTGGTTGAGTGTCTTATGTGTGTTAAAGGATACAACCTCTGAGAAGCACAACATCGACACAGTGGTCGATTTCATGACTTTATTGGCTGGTTTAGAACCTTCAAAACCTAAACATCTCACCCATCAAGTGTATGATGAAAATCTGTAGTTAAGAGAACTTTCATCAAGAATTTTTATGGAAAGGCCAGATCTCTCTCCTCCTTCATAAGCCTCACACCAATACATAAGAAATGCCCAGGAGTTACGGTGGGATTCAACTGATTCACACATCTTGTATCATGTTTTCCTAAAGGTTAGAAGATATAATCAATGTGTGGGGGAAAAAATCTGAAAGTTGAAGCCAAAGAATCAAAGAACTGGAAAATTAGGCCTAGAGCACTTTGTGAGAATAGGGAAAAGATACTAAAGTCAGTTCTAGACGCTCTAAAGGAAAGAAGATTCTAAAGGCAGGTTCTATCCTTGTATTTACTCCCCAGCCTTTCTAGAATGCATGAACAGCATTACCCCAAAGACCAAGTAGGGCAACTCCTCACAAGAATAAAAAATGTGAAAACTTTTGTGTCATCTGAAATCCTAGAAATTTCCTTCACTTGCTTTGTGAAAGTCATTATCTTTGTCCAGGCCCACTGTGACCTGTAACATTCCTGATGGCAAGAACTTGTCATCTGTTCTTGGGGGTTAGCATAGCATAGAACAAGGTCAAGACCATGCATCAATTATGCATGGAGACTTGAGGCATGCTGATACTTTACCATCTAAAGTGAGACTCACTTCAAGGAGGACTGGAATTTCATGGACTGAGGGTTCCTTCATAATTTTTAATGGGCTCAGGAGTGTTTTTAACACTCCAGGGGATGTTCTACTTCTGCTTATAGCCAACCACTGTACAGTGACCATTAAGAATAACCAGGATAAACAGTACAAGGCTGTTGAGCGCCCTCTCTCTCTTCTTTGACTTTCACCCCATCTTGGCTTCTAACTCCCATTCCTAGGTCTGTATTTTATTCCCAAGCCTTGCATCTGACTCCGAAGGCCACACTCAGTCCACAATATCATGCTATCTCTCACTTGATATTTCTTTTTAGAATTGCACATTATGTATTTCTTCAGAGAGTTCTGCAGAGGCCAATCAGACCCTTATTCACAGTAGAAAAATGATGCTGCTCCTGACAAACTCATGTTTACCTAAAATAAACGCATGGCTGGGTGTGGTTTCTTATTGTCACTGGGTAAAAATCTAACTCTTCAGTTGGTACCTATCTCCAAGTTTGCCTACTCTTTCAGTCTCTCCTCTTGCCTCTTTCCTTATGCTCTAGTCACCAATTGCAGTTCCTATGCTTCTCATGAAACTGGGCTCTGAATATGCTGCCCACTGCCCCAGATGCCCTGTTCTTCCCTGGGCCAACCACTTGCTCTCCTTCAGGGTCTGCCCAGACATATTCCTTCAAGAAGCCTCCTCCCCCTTCCCTAACCAGGTGCTGTTTTATCATCCATTATTTACCTTTGAGATAAACCTTGTTGTAATAGTGGTCCCAGGAAAAGGGGAGATTCCAGGTTCCCTGCCCACCCAGAAGGAGGGTGGAGCTGAGCAGGGAGGAGAAGAATCTGGAGAGGAGACTGACAGAGGAAGAAAGCAGGATGGAGAGCCAGGAGACCTGAGGGGGGCACATGCACTAGAGAGACACATGAAGACAGTTTGTCTTGTTTCTTGGCCCTGTGCTGGTTGAAACAGATGTGGAGAGGCCCATGTGGCGGTTGACTATGGCAGTGTTTAACTTGATTTTGATTTTGCTCTTTTCCTCCCAGACTTGTCTGGCCATTTCTGGCCCTTTCCTATGGGTCCCCTCCAGAAGGTGTTTTAGACTTTGTGACAGGCTTTCAGGCCTCGATTTGGGCCAACCCCTTTTGGGTGGGCTTTTACCCATGAGGGGATGGGTAACTTCAGGTATTTGATATAGAAACTATATCCTTTGTCTTTTCTGTATTGCACACTGATTGTATTAAAGTTCCTTGCCATTAAAGGTCTTATATTTTTTATCTTGATGCAGCGGATGGCAGAGCAGGCAGGTTTGGGGGTTTAGCTGGGTCCCTTTCCCTGTCCTGTAACAGTTCTACACTGTATTAATATAGCCTGTTTATTTGTAAGTCTTTCCCTATTAAATATGTTTCCAAAAGGCTGTGTTATAACAGACACTAAATAGATATTCCTCTAAATATACAGTGACTGAATGAGATGCTCAGTAAAAATACATGGTTGGAGCACTCAGACCCAGCTTTTAAATAATCCTGTATGAAAAAGTTTTGTGCGCAGAGATGCACTTTGCAGCAACAGATGACCAAAAGTCAAACTGAGTGGAAATAATTACATGAAACTGTTATTACTGGAATATTAAGCAGTCATTTAAAAATGTTCATAAAAATGTCATAATAATGCTATGAAATGACTATAACAGTAAGTGAACAAAAATGAAGCATTACTTTCAATATAATCCACATTATATAAAAATGTATGCAAATACTAAATAGTAACATATTAAAAGGGGGTCACTCCAGGGAGCACTATGGAATTTTAAAAATCTTCTTTGACCTATATTTTCCAAGTTTCTAAAATTTGCATGAAATGTTTTATGAATTAAGGAAATGTTTCTAATTAAGAAACAATAAACATTTTAATACAAATTCCATTGAAATAAATTGGCCTCTTTGCTTGCAAAGAAAGGCAAACAATAGCCCTTCTGTCCCACTAGCTACTATACATTACAAGAGGAGGAATAATGAAAACAAAACCAGACCACAAAGCCTGCAAGTACAAATAAGCAAGCAATTGACAAGGTACTGTCAATTTAAAGACACCTCCTATCATTGAGAACCACCCACAGCCAGATTCCAAGGTACAATGCTAAGCCATATTACCAGAGGTATGAGTATGGGCATCTTGTAGGTTTAAAATATTCCTAGCAGTTCCAAAACTAAATCTATAGTTTGGTTGCCTTGAGGGTATTCGTGAAAGTACAAAAAAGAATCGCTCTAAATTCCTATTAAAACCCAGTTTGTCGAGTCCAACAAGGGCAGCTCTCTCAATATGACTGGAAGGACTTTCACGAGCCTTCTCTCTTTGTTAAAACCATTTTGTCGAGACTGTAACTATTTTTACAATTTTCCGAAATAAAAAACCCTAATGGTGAATTCTAAACCCTTTCTTTGAACTCTTTAACTAGCATTAGATTTTTCTCCAGTACTTCAGTGGACTTGTCTTAGCTATGTAATTACTGTTCCTTAATTTCCATATCCAACTCTAGAAGTCTAAATTTTAAATATATAGCAGTAATTATACTTTATATCCGTAGAGTACCTTCCAGCGTCCACTTCTCTTTCACCTCCATTATTCTAAAGAATGTCTTCGGTTTGAAGAAAAAACTATGACCCAGAGGCTGTGCCAGCCAGTTAATGGCACAGTAGGAAGAACAAATAAGAGCTTCCTGCTCTCTAGACCTGAACTATGATCAATACTGCATCCTAAAAGGCTGTCTCTTTACTAGATTTTAAATAAACCTTATATAGTTAGAACTACACCATAGGTATCCAAAACCCCTCTAGATCTCATTGGGCATTTACTGAGTGCCTCTCTCGTGCTAAAATGCTCTAAACTGCTTGCTAACTCTTCCATCTTCCCTACTACATTTTAACCCGGGAAAAAGGACGCCTATTTGTCATTTACATTTTGTCTCGGCGCCACGGCGTTAACAGGCTCTAACATTTATGCACACTGGATGAAGAAGGCGAGCAGTGGGGCACTCTCGCGTTCGAGTGCGTGCCCCAAGGCGGGATAGCCAGGCTGCGCCCACGGGAAAAACTGGGGTTGAAACGCAGTGGGCAGGAGGGAGCGCCCGCAGGTGTCTCAGCGCTCGGCCCAGCCATCCTAAGTCAAGCACAAGACCCGAGTTCCCAAGGGCCGCTCCGGGTCGCCACCCCACCCCCGCTCACCCACCACTACGAGCCTCCCTCCCTCCCCTCCTGACCGACACCCACCCCACCGCCCCGGCCGGGCGAGCCCAGCCCGCGCCCACAACCCCGGAAGTTACACGCGACCGCCCTGTTGCGTAACTTCCGGGCAGAGCTAACTTCCTAGACACACGCGGAAGTGCCGGGAGACACCGGTAGCCGGCTTCGGTTACAAGCTTTCTGACCCCGCTGGCCGCCTGGGGACGTTCCGAACAGATCGACACTCAAGGCCCGATTCCGCCAGCACAGAACCAGCGAAGCCGGGGTCCCTCCCGCTCATCGGCTTAGAGCCGATGCCGGCCGCGCCCTGCAGCCCCGGGAGCGGGGCCGGACCATGAGCCTGCTGGGCGGCCTCGCCACCTCCCCCTGGGCCCCGCTGCAGGCCAGCACGGCCAGAATGAAAAAGCTCCCGAAGAAGAGCCAGAACGAGAAGTACCGGCTCAAGTACCTGCGGCTGCGCAAAGCGGCCAAGGCCACGGTGTTTGTGAGTCTGACCGTCGCCCAGCCCCTCTCTGCCCGGAGACTCTCCTCGCGAAATCTTCCCCCGAGCTGTTCCCCTGCCAGAGTGACAGTGTTAAGATAGTGTTAGCGACTGCTGGATACATTCCTCCTTGTTGGTCAAATTACGCGATTTCTGTAATCCTTATCTGTAAGTGAGAGTGCAGAATGGTGACGATGAGAGCAGTGAACCGCTGGGTACCTGGAGGTGCCCGTAAGTTGCAGTCACTGTAATTAACGCACTTTCGGTAGTGCGTTTGGTTGTTGAGAGAACCTTGGGCCTTGAGAATGAAGCCCTGTTTATAAAAAGACAACACAAGACTCCCACAGAGATGACTTGCTCAAGGACACTGTCGGCCTGACTCCAGCCAAGAGGTCGTGGTACTAGATTCGTTGTTCCTCTTACACAGCTGTTTTCCCAAGCACTCGGCGTACCTAACTGGCCCTTTCCCTAAATAAGCACGTGAAGTTTGCAGTAATTCCCCCCTTCTAACCTCCTTTGACTCTCCCAAGTCTTCTGCCTTTCTTTTATTGTAGAGGCACCGGGTGTGTTAAGTGAATGAATTATTTTGCCAGCCACAACTTTGTGCTACCTTATTCAGGCCTGCTCAAGCTTACCTCACTGCTTGGAAGCAGGGTGTAGAGCCCTCAGTACCCCACACCTGAATCCACAGCTGTCCTCTTCTGTCTACCAAAAGCATGCACATCTCTCAGTTTTGGGGGAAGTAAAAGGCAATTATTCATTCCAAAAGCATTTAACACCGGCTACATCCCCTGGAGAGAAATAAGGAAAATGGAATTAAGAGGGCTTGTTATCTAACTGTTCCCTTTCTGTTACTCCCACACATGTCAAAGGTGCCTAACATTTGGCACCTACTTTATTACCTTATTAGACTGATGTTGGTTCCATCAAGAATAGGAAGGTCTTGTGAAAAAAACTATTGCTTTTAACATTGAGAGGTTGAGATCCTACCTGTTCAACCAATTGGAACATTCCTTTCACGTTGATTGATGCTTGGGAGATTGGGTCATCAATAAGGAGAGATGATACTTAAAATCACATTAAGTAGATAAAATTGAAGAATACACACTAGAGTTTATGTTTTCCAGTTTTTCTTTTAAAGGTCCACAGTGCATGGGATCCTTTGGCTTAGGTTGGTTTTATAAGCTCCTCAGGCATCAAGACACTAGGGAATGAACATTTTTCCTCTTTATCAGGATTGAATAGAACTTCTATGGACTGAAGCAGGATATCCTTTTCTATGGGAGAAACTAATTAGGTTGACAGTTCACCTTGGTTCATCTAGTTAGCTGTATTATTCTGGAATGATCATTAGTAGCACCCCCTTTCATTCAAAGGTACCCTGATTTCTGTAAATTATTAATTGCCCTGACTATTCTGGAACGGACTCTATTTTTTATATTTTGTCTACAAAATATAAATACCTACAGTTCACCCAGCAACCCAGACTTCTTTGGTATGAAACACAGCACCTCTTCCCTGCACACTACTTTGACCTTTCATTCATTTTATATGATTGTGTTCAAATTTTTTCTTAAAGGAAAATGCTGCTATTTGTGATGAAATTGCTCGTCTTGAGGAAAAATTTCTTAAAGCAAAAGAAGAAAGAAGGTGAGCTGACTTCATGTTATGATCAGATGACATTTTTGTTAACTGACATGGTGCTAATGCCCTGGGAATTTTATCCATTGAGATTTTTATGCATTGTAAAGCCCATCGGTTACTGATCAAGTACAGAGAAATGCACAACCTCTGGTGTTGGTTCCTATTTACCGAAGTCGTTTTGGACCATGGTGATAAGATGGTTCCTCTATTCATCTTTCAGACAACGTCCCCTTGCCACATTGAATAGATAAGCTTACTATAACTCCCCAGTTACAAAAGTCAAAGTATAACAGAATTAGCCTCCAAGTCTACACATAAGCGTGCAGTACATACTACTCTGGAAAACACGGCAGGTATGTAGTCATATGCTACTTACTGCCCTTCATACATATGCTGCCTTCACATTCCAGCCTGAAGATAGAGGAACCTGGGCTCTCCCTGGTGGCAAAATGGGTTAAACCACAGCAGCAGAAGCTATCCACAGCCACTGCAGCACAACAGCTCCAGTTGGATCCCCGGCCAGGGAGCTGACCCACATGGCACAGCAGACCTCTCCTGTCTCACTTGCTGCTCCCCTCAGTAGTGTATTTCAGTTGATCTGCCTGTTCTGCCCCCCACTGTCTCTGGTAAATTTTCTCCCCCGCCCCACCTCTGGCCTGTACCCCAGTTCCATGCACAAATAAATCTTTTAAAAGAAAAAAGAGGAAGAAGATAGAGAAACCTCAGATGCCAGAGAGATGAGCTGCAGTCCTTATCCTTCACTTCTTGAGGCTTAGTTATTCCCAGGGTCCAGGAGGAACCTTATTTTTGTGAGTTTAGTAATCTTTACTGAGAGTTCTGGCTGTTCCCAGTTCTTGAATAAAATACTATACAATACTGAATTGAGATAAAACAAGTTCATACCTGTGCTCCCTTTCCTTCCTGACCTCAGGTACTTGCTAAAGAAGCTTCTCCAGCTTCAGGCTCTAACAGAAGGGGAAGTACAGGCTGCAGCTCCTTCCCACAGCTCCAGTTTGCCCCTGACGTATGGTGTGGCCAGTTCTGTGGGAACTATACAGGGAGCTGGACCCATTTCTGGGCCCAGCACTGGGGCTGAGGAACCATTTGGGAAGAAGTCCAAGAAGGAGAAAAAAGAAAAAGGCAAAGAGAACAACAAACTGGAAGGTACATTGGGGACAGGATGTGTGTTGCCCCAGTGATAGCGGAGACCTGGTACTAATGAGTATGCGCTTGTGCCCACAGGTTGACTTTCACTTTCATCCGGTCCTTAAGCAGCCCTAAACCCCATCAAAAGCAAGCATTCTCAAGCCACTGTGGGTGGCAGAATTCCAGTTAGACCTGGTTAAATGGAAGGGAGCAAGCTAAATGCCACCCCCCCTCTCTGATTTTCTGGGTTGCCCTCTAGTCTTTCCTGGAGGCAGGGAAATGGGCTATGTGGCCTTTGGAGCACTTTTGACTTGGGAAATTTCCAATGTGATAAAGGAAGTAGGAAGCCTTTAAAAAGGTGTAAGACTTTTAAGTCCCAAACACTGACACTGAATTTGTCACTGCCAGGTGGGTGGGTTAGAAAGATACTCAGGGCTTTGGGGGAAAAATCCCAGGCCCCCATTCAGTGAGTGTGAAGAACCAGGATGGATTTACTACTCTTAGCTTTCATGGGTAAATTTTTTCCCTTCCCCTCAGCTCTGAAAGAGGGGCTTAAAGTGGGTGACCCCAGATTTGCGTTTCAGTTCTGAAGAAAACATCCAAGAAAAAGAAAATGGAGGGAGGTGCTCGCAAGCTGGTTCAGCCCATTGCCCTGGATCCCTCAGGACGGCCTGTGTTCCCCATCGGACTGGGGGGTCTAACAGTTTATAGCCTGGGGGAGGTGAGTGAGACCAGCGCTGTATAGAGAGGAGAATCAGAAATACGGGCATACTGGGGTTGAGCCTTCCCTTCCTGTTCCCCTTAGCAGCATCCCTTGCTGATTCAGACCAACCCCAGACAATCTCTGCTCCCTAGGAAACCAGGTCAGAATTGTCTGCTACACCACCTGTGTTCTTTCTATATGCAGTTTGAGTCACTCTTTGCAGCCCCAAAGTGGTTCTAGAGATGCCCACTTCTGAATTCTCAATCCCAGATGGCGGGGATCTTTTCCAGATCGTCACCGACCGGCCTGGCTTCCATGATGAGAGCGCCATCTACCCCGTGGGCTACTGCAGTACTCGCGTGTACGCCAGCATGAAGTGCCCAGACCAGAAGTGTCTCTATACCTGTCAGATCAAGGATGGTGGTGTGCAGCCTCAGGTACCACTGTGCTGAGAACTGCTGGTTTTCTTTATGTGTTTTGAGTGAGAACTTCTGTGACAGGCACTTAAGTACATAGCACTGGCCACACGAGTCAGGCTTTGCTCAGCCTCTGCTTCTGTGTATCCAAATTTTCTAGTGATCTGTAACATCAGCAGATTGAAAATGGTCTTTTTATCCCTAATGATCACAAGCGATGGCTAGGGGAAAAGAACTGCCTTGAATCATGGTAGTGAGGAGGATGAACAAAGGCTTAGTCTAGCATGTTGGTCTCCCAGGCCCTGAAGACTCATTCAGAAACCAACACGGTTTCTTTGCTACCTTCATTTTGGTCCTACCTAAGTTGCAAAGTAGCAAACCAATCTTCCCTGTACACATAAGGGACTCGCTCAGGCCTCACCTGGTCACTGTATCCACAGCGGAAGCAGCATGGTTCTGCGCCAAAGGGTATCAATCTGAGAATTAGAGCGGTTTTCATCACTTATTAGGTGAGGTGTGACTTAAGGTCAGTTACTGTCTGCATCTTGGAGTTACCCAAAGAGTGGTTATACTGTACCTACCTTATAAAGTATCAAAGCAAAGGCTTGCTGTTTTCTTTTGGACTTGCTTGAATTTTCATAGCGCTTTCAGAAATTGTATCGATCTCCTAGGGTGGCACATGGCGGCTTCAAGTTCCAGGGTGAAGGAAGAGTTAGAGGAATGGAGTGATTTTCTCTGCTGCTTTCTCCACTCCTGCCTCCTTAAAGATTAATCTGATTGCTCCTTTATCTTCTCAGTTTGAAATTGTTCCTGAAGACGACCCCCAGAATGCCATTGTCAGCACTTCTGCGGATGCCTGTCACGCAGAATTGCTCAAGACCATAAGTGCAACAATGTAAGTTGACCAAGGACTTGAAAGCTTAAAAGACCCCTTCTGGTGCAGGGAGAGCCCTGACTTCGTAAGCAGTCCTGCCTTCTTTGGCTGTCTCAGCAGCTAGCATCTCCAGAGGAATCCAAGTCAAGAAAGCTGTTCTGTGTGTAATGTGTTCATGCCCACATTCCATTTCTAAATCCATCTCATCTCCCTCTCAGCTCTCAAACTAAAATTCTCCCTCTCCTGTTTAGGGGGAAATTAATGCCCAACCTGCTCCCATCTGGAGCTGACTTTTTTGGGTTTTCTCATCCAACCATCCACAACCTGATCCAGAGTTGTCCGGGAGCTCGAAAATGCATCAAGTAAGTGTGATCAAATCCATTCCCTCGAGAAAAGCTCTGTGATCTGCCAGCCAGGGTCCTGAACTGGCAGTTACTGCTTTGCCCACGCCCACATTTATGGAGCTGCGTGTGCGCCCCACATGCTTGCTCCTCCACTGCTGCCTCAGAGCTGGTCTCCCCGCCGGATTGGCAGGAGCCAGCACCCGCACCATACGAGGGTGACTGCCTCCTGTGTGTGCTGACAGCAAGAGGGTTGAGAAATCCTACAGACTGAGTTGCCGCTAAAGACGTCCTGTCTTCTTTAGGTTGTTTTTGCTAGTTAATATATTTTTTTATATGTGGGCGAGCTCTAAAAGGAAATTGCAGCTTTCTTTGGAATAAGAATGGGTTATTATAGCTGACAGCTCTAGATGATGATTCCTTTTGGTCCTGCAGTTACCAGTGGGTGAAGTTTGATATCTGCAAACCTGGAGATGGGCAGTTACCCCCAGGACTACCGGAGAATGATGCAACTATAAGTTTTGAAGCCTTTCAGAAGGAGACTTTTGAGGAAGATCAGAATGATCCCATTCTACAAGGTAGCTTTAATTTTAACTTCCTGGTTTGAAAACTGAGCACTCTGAGGATACCCCAGTCTGTCTTTATAGCTGAGTACCCCAGATATCTGGAGTGTCATAGGACTTTCTCAACTCCTACCATGGAATCAGGAGGAGCTGCCTTCCAGAAGTCCCAGGGAGTGGCTGCAACCTCAGTAAGGCAGGGCCAGTACAAAACTGGGGGTTCTCATTGTCCAGCCTTAATAAGACATAAGCAGAACTCCAGGGGAGCATCACTGTGCAGGACTAACATTTCAAAGGAAGTAAGGGGAGCAGGTCATGGCCTTGTCCTGCCTGTGCTCAGTGGATGCCCTTCTAGAAATAGTTGGAGTGACATCGAGGTCACGTGAGAGCTCTGGGCTCGAAATAAAAATAAAAAGCAGAATTAAAATTCTTACTCTGCCTAATAAGTTCTCTAATCCCAGGCAAGTCACTTAATCTGTTGCAGCCAGTTTTTGTCACTATAAAAATGCTTGTCCCCTTTTACCCCACAAAGGCAGTATTGGCTGCAGGTACAAGGATGTTAAGGAGAGGTGTCTGATCAATCCAGTCCCCAGGCAACAGTGGCCTTTAAGGAATTTTCTTCTCCAGGATCCTTGGACCTCCCGGAGCTTCAGCCTATCCCCTTCGTGTCATCTTACCAAACCATGTTCCTGACACACGAGCCCTTGGTAGACACTCATCTACAGCACTTGAAGTCTCCATCACAGTGTAGCCCAACTCAGTCCTCAGATTGAACAAGAAGGGATCAGCTATCACGTCATTTTCATCGTGATCCATTTTTAACTTAAAATCAGACTTAGGATATGTGGAAGAAAGCAGCAGTTCAGGAGTGAAGGCGATATTAATTAATACATTTTGGCGTGGAGGTTCCCTTGGTGACAGTTTTCCCTGGGGAAAACTTCAACTGCTTTATTTTTAGTAATAAATTTCTCTTGACAAGTCTGCTTATTTTCATCTTGTAATCAGGATAAAATCTTTTTTTGCTTAGCTCTGCCTGAGGTAGAGTAAATTCAGTTCTCTAAACCAAAGTGAGATGACTGCCAACCCACGAAGGAGGGGCTAAGATTCTGACTGCCTCCTACCCTGGATTCTGATCCTCTCTCAATGACTAGAAAGACCCAAGCCTGGCAACCCAGGCTGCGACTTTACCTTCGTGTCAGTGTCATGAAAATCAAATCCTGCTCATCCCCAGGCTGGAGAGTAGTCCAAAGCACTCCTTGTCTTCATATTGCACATTTCCTTCAAGAGGATAAAAGTTTTCTTTAACCCATTCTACATTCCTTTTGTGGCTTTTCATTAGAGAATGTACTGTTGTCTGCGTACACTGAAACTATATAACACAAATAGATACAACATGACTCCAGACCCACCCCATCATTTCATTAATCCTGTTAAAGATTAACTCCTCCTGTGCAACTGAATGTATCAACTGCTTATGACAGCAAGGCAAAGGTTTATCACAGCAGCTCATCCAGCCCATTTCAACTCCACATTCCCCATCCAGCCAGGCACCAGGACTGGCTGGAATAGCAGGGAGCAAAAGGATCCAAGAAGTAGAAGGACGGAGGAGTGTTGAGAGCTGGATGTTAATGTGCCCCAGTCCATAACTGCTGAGGGACAGCACAAACGGGATGAGCCTTCTAGAAGAAAATTTGGCCAGAGAGTGGAGGGGACCAGAGGCAGTATTTGAGCCACTCCACACTGGCCACTACCAAGTATCAGAAAATAAAGTCACTAGTATGAATTTTATGACTCTTAGAGTCTTACAAGTTTGTATACTTTTAAGGTGCAAAAAGTCAATAAAATTTGAATAATAGCGAATCAAATGGAAGAGAATTTCTCAAAGCTATTTATATTTTAATGGGTTATTTTTGTCTTTTTTTCTCTGCATAAATTGCCTGAACATATTTGCACTTAACACGAAAACAATATATGCTGCTTTTATCATATAGCAAGAATCTTTAATAGCCTGATTTTAAAAAACATAATAGAAGAGAGCTTCATTTTAAGAAAGACATTTAAATTTTTTTAAAAACTGGACTGTTTAAGAAGAGTATTTACTTTGCAGCTTTCATACAGCACTGTGTTTCAACTACAGCTCTCAACCCATTGGTTATTAAACAGGAAATCAAGACCTACATCTTCTAAAATGAAAACAGTTAAAACATACTGGGATGTACGACATTTCAAAGGCTGAAATTTTGGTTTCAAATCTGGTGTGTATATGTATAGAAGTGTCACACATGCACACGCGGGAATACATGGAATAATGTGTTTTTACTATGGGTCATCGTTCTGAAAAACACTGTCAAGTATACCAGGAAAGTGTTTCATCTTTAGATTATGGATTTTTCTTTTGATTTGACAACATCCAATTATCAGTGTGAAGGAAGGAAAAAAGGGGCTATACCTTGGTGGGAATGTAAACTGTTTAACCCTTTGGGAGGATTAAGCTACAGGGGTGAAAATTTTAAACATTTATCCTTAAACTTACTATTCTACATTAAGGGCTCCAAGGAAATCAGTATGATGGGATGTTTGCATGTATTACTGATTTACTTACTAGTAAAAAAATTGGGAGAAAAACATAAAATGATGACAAATTATGGGGTTCCCACAAACCAACCATGAATTTATCATCAGTTCACATAAGAAGTGTTTCTGAATATAAAGTTATATTCATTTGGGAAATAAACTGTATTTCATAGAATGTTTTATTCATCATTGAAAATAAACATCACATGGCTTTTGATCTGTGTGCCCATTACTTGAAACTGAGTTTTTCACACCTGCTTCCTGGGCTAAAAAGGAGGTGGGTTTAGGGTTGTGGCTCTCTAGCTACTGCCAAATTAGCACAGCACGAGTTCATGTGTATCATAACTCAGGGGATGCACAGGAGTCTCACTGAATTCACAATTCCATTAGACCAGATGCATCTGCAGTCCAAGCAGGAGTGTTGGGAGTTAACTAGACTTGGAAGTCCTCAGAGCAGCCAGGGTTCCTTGCAGATGGCACAGTTGTTTGGATTTTTAACATCCGGGAGCTGACAGCTCTTCCTGCTGTTTGGAGTTACTCCAGACCCATGGCAGACAAATGTGGAGAATGATGCTTTCCTGCTTTTCTCTCTTAATCACAGTAAAGGCAAGGAGGCTACCCTTAGATAAGTCTTACTCCTTCCTCATGCTTCAAAGGATAGTTTGCAAGCCCATCCCTACCCCAGTTTTGACCAGATATAAATGTATACACGTCACTAGTGCTTTCCAACTTCTAATAGACAACACACAATTATTAAGTACCCTTAGCCAGTCTTAATCAATAAGCCACTTGATGACTCTCAATAGACAGAAACCCCTTTACATTTGCCCCAATCAGATTAGCTTTCTTCCATCTGGATTATCCTTTAAACCTCTTACTTTTAAAAGAGCCTGAGATTTATCCTGAACTCAAAGGTACCTGCTTCTCAGTGCCCTGTACTGTCATGTTTCTCTAAGCCTGTGACTCCCATACCCCTCAAGTCACTGGAGCCTGGGAGTCTTCACCAGCTGCCAGCTCCTCGCCCTTCCTCTTCATCCAGTCATGCAGTCTCTCTGCACCTTTCCCAATGTCTGCACATGCTTCTGGTTTAAACATTCACATTATCATGAATTAAATTAGAGGAATGGAATTGTCTGGTTCAGAGCACAAACAACACAAACCAAAGACTGCAGTAAAATGATAGGCTTTGATTCCACCAAAGGAAGAACTTGGGAAGTTAAGAATGGAAACTTAACTGTTTGTCAGAGTTTATGAAGTACACGTAAATATTAGTTGGCCTCTTTGGTCTTGAAATCTCTTCCAACTCTGAGTTTCCACAATTCTGGATATAAAGGGAAAAGGTGTCAGACACTGCACGCCCAGTGATGAAGTGAATGCATTGAGCTTCGGTTCATTTGCAATTCAGAATTAGTCCAGTCTGGCCTAATGGGACAAAATGCCAGCACTTGCACTGACCTGCCAGCCCTGAGTCCTCTCAGAATACAGAAACAATGTGTAAGCCAGTTGTTCAGAGAGACCTTTCTTTCATTTCCTTAAAAACAGAAGCTTTCATCATTTAAACTCCTGAACACCCATTGGGAAGGACCCCACCGTTTCTGAAATAGTCTGCGACTAAATTCCTAGGAACCTTTTATGCTGCTCAGGAGTCTGCTTTGTAATGAAAGCAAAGAAGGGAGGAGCCGGCAGCGTGCTGGTGGGGTGGTACAGGGGACACTGTTTATATTCACAAGGCCACGTGGTCCAGGCATAGCGGAGAGCAACCAGAGTGCCGGGGCAAGAACTGACGTTGAGGCTCAGGGTCTGGGTGGAGAAAGTGTCCATGGGAGCCGGAAGCCATTTGCAATGATGGTCATCACAACATGAGACCTAATAACAATTACAAAATAGGAATGATCAGTCATTCAAAGGCTGTACCAAGAACTGCTCTTGCAACAGGCTCAAAAGGAGAAAAGGAGCCACTCTGGGGACCCATTTCCTGAAAGAGCCGGAAGAACTCTGAGTCCAGATTGGGGCTGGTCAGCACAGCCACAGGTTGATAAAAAGTGTTTATAAGGTAAAACAATAAATAAAACATTCAATTACTGAGGGAGACAAGAAAGCCACCACAGATTGCATGTGGCTCCCGGGGACTGTGGTGCTGTGGCCCCTCCCACCAAATGACGAAGCAGGCAGGGGTTGAGTGAGCCAAGAGTTCAGCTGCTGTGGCAGATCTGGCTCTTCCAAGGAGCTGAGAGAGGAAGAAGGGGTGCAAAGACACTTGGGTAACAGGCCTCTCTCATGTGGGAAAGCAATCCCAGGGGAGAGCATAATTTACCGGCTACCCCTAGGGGAATTCCATCCCACCTCAGTCCATGATTGTGAGTTCAGATGGATTGTCACTCCCAGCACCCAACAAAAGGTTTTCTGTTCCCAACAAAATGGGGGAACTTGGAGCACGGAGGCTTCTTGGGCTAGATTCACCTGAAACCCGGTATCCAGAGAAGCTAAGTGGGGCCATGGATACCATGGTTAGGGTTCTGGAGAAGGACAGGCCTAGGTTACATTCTGTGTAATTAAAGTTACACGTGTCTCCTAATGCCTTCTTTTCACACAGCCCCAAACCAGCCGACCTGGTGGGTCCCAGACACTCATGTTCTTTCTAGGAATGCCTCCCTCCAACTCCTAAATAACCTTAATCAAGAGCCCCAGGCCCACGGCGGGATGAGCCTTGCTAGGTAGTGGAAGAAAGTTGTTTCATTTACATTAATTCATACTAGGCTAGAAGTCACCAAGTTTATGCCTCTCAAAAAAGACACTAAACTAGGGTAGTATGACAGTAGAGAGATCCCAGAATAGCAAAACCTTCTAGAGCAAGGATTCCCCTGAATGGTCAACCTACAAATAAAGCTGCAGGCCTTTCCCAAAGCAAAAATGCACTGGAAGGGAAGATACAAAAGAAGCACTTCTAATATGGTCTCATGTTTCCTTCCTTCATTGTCCTATCAAAATTTGCATCAGCAAGTAAATTAATAGCTGCTTATTTGCCCCTCTGAGGTAAACTTTGTTAGGTTCACCAACAAAGACCGCATCATGGTAGTATTTTAAAGAGATGGGCCTGGGGAGGTGGGGGGAGAGGAAATGGTAGCCATGGCAGGGGCTCTGGTCCTACTAAGGTTTGAAACCTTGAAATAATGACTTGGAAGAAAAAGAGAAAAGTGAGGGAGGGACAAAAGGATTCACTACTTAGTCCCAACACAAGATGAATCCCTATTGTATTCTGCTATTCTTCTCACCGTAAATATCTTCTTGTCCTTCATCTTCACCTGGATTTGCTGAGAATAGGTCAGGTTGAGCAGCCCCTTGTCAGCCACGAGTTCTATCTTCTCAGGTATTGGTCCTTGAAATGTCAGTTTCTCACCGTAAGCCACAGCGCGTGCGCCCAAGTGCAGCCTGTAGGCCACAGTCTGTTTATCACGAGGATGGATGCTACAGGATAAAGAGCAGGTCAGGAACGTTGGGTTTGGCTTTGAGCTCAGTAATAAACACATTAAGAGGGCAGGGGTGGGGGCTATTATACATAGCGCCTTGAAGAGGTGAAAATCAAGTTGACAGAGTCTAAGACAGCGAGCCTTGGCTAGTTACCTTAAGAGACATAGCAAATGGTAACCATGGGGGGGGGCGCTCTGGTTCTTCTAAGGACTGGACACCTTGAAATAATAGATGACTTGGTAGAAAAAGATAAAAGGGAGGGAGGAAGGGAGGGAGAGAAGGAAGAAAGAAGGACACACGTCTGACCTAGGACAGCTAACTCATAAGACTATTCATGTCCTTTCTTTTATCAGAATCCGCTGCTCATTATTTGGTTATAGTCATTCACTCAATCAATATTCAAAAATAAATATTTGTTCACGCTCTTACTATAATCCAGACACTCACTACATGTCAGTCTCCTTTTCACATCTGAAATCCCCACAGTGTCATCCTCAGGGCTGCTCACAAATATTTCTCTGATGCTCTGGTAGCACTTCCTGCAGCCAGGCCTGCCCACAACGTGTGTTTTAGCCAATGTGAGGTGAGCAGAAGTGATGCTTGCTTCCACCAGGTGGAAGCATTTAATGTCAGTGTGAGACACTGAGGAGAGTGAAAGTGCACATCAATTGCAGCCTCTGTTGCTCTGGACCTGCGAATGACCTTGACAAGCAAAGCCTCTCCATGAACCATTTCTGGACACATAGTGTGAAGAAGAAATAAATTTTTGTTATATCAAGGCATCGAGATATGGAGGGCTTTTATTATTATTACTGCCACACCCCAACATAAATGATTAACAGAGAATTCTTCTAAATTTCAAACCTCAGACTACATACTCTGCTCCTGCACCGTGAACATCAGAGATAAGGCGAAAAAGAACAAATGTTCTTTAAGCAAAGCTGGGAAGGACTTGTACCTGTCAAACGGTGAGTTCCTGTCACCCAGATCCATAGCTACAGCCATGAAGGTATTGGGCATCCTTTGGTTGGGGACATAGCCAAAGTCAGCTGTTTGATGCCAGCGGATCTCAGGACACTGGTCATCTGGGGTTGCACCACGCAAATATGAAGATAACTGAGAAACAGAAGGTGTGTCAGAAAGATGTTACAGCAGAATCCACAGGGTTCCTTTCCTGCCACTGCTTCATTCTTGGTGCAAATATTCACCCCACAAGCTTTTGCCAAGTTAGTATGACTCCTCCTGCTGCGAGCCCTTTACTCCCGGATGCTGAGGAAGTTTTGCTGCTGCTCTCACAAGAGATGGTGTCCATCCCTCCTCCCACTGAATCTGGCCTAAGCCTGTGATCTTCTCTGACCCAAAAACCAGAAAGGTAATGTTATGCTGTTCCTGCGTCTTCACTTTTCCCAAAGCCATTGCCTTTGACTTTATTCTTTTAGAACCTTGTGACAATGCTTAAAAAAAAATCCAACGACCTCGCTGGAGAAATTATGCAGAGAAAGGGGTCTGGAAAGGGGGAAAGTAGGATGTGAGAGAGGCATCCTTCAGTGCAACACTACAGCCAGGTGAGCAAGCCCAGCTGGTGTCGCCTGGAGCACAAATAAGCCACCCTATTTGAGCCCTGCCTGGCCAACCCATGGAATCATGAATGAAATGACTCATTTTTAGCCACTAAGCGTACAGGGAACTGGCATGTCTGTACACAGGCAGGCATCACTTAACAATGCAAGTATCTTTGCTTTAACCATGGGGATACTTTCAGAGATCTGAGGAGAAGAAAGTTAGGAGATAAGGTGGTGGGGTGAACGGGCCAGGGCAGGCCCTGTGTGCCCTTGCGGACCTCAGCCACATGGAGGAGCGGCGGAGCCTTCCCAGTATAACCTGCATGTCAAAGGAACACCTGGACTGATTCACTGAGCATCTCCAAAAGGGAGAAAAGTAGAAGCAGAAGACCAGAAAAGAGGCAATAATTGAAGGAAGAGATGAGAGAGACGTAGACTCGTGAAGGAGCAGGACAGGTAGTGAGAAGCGGTCAGAGTCTGCGTACATCTTGAATAAACAAGACTTGCTTCCATCAAGCCTGAAAGTTCAGATTCCTACTCCTGTGAAGGACAGAGTTCCCTAGAGAGCTTCTTTACTATTACTGTAGTGCACGTGGCCCACCATGTCTTCCTTTACATCGCCCTGTTCTCTGATTTCGGTAGCATTTTATTCTGGACCCTCCTTGCAGCCAGTAAGTCAACCACAAAGTGTGGGAGAGTCGAGACCAGCAACCACTTCGTCTTTGGACTCTGTTTCAAAACTTCTGTTCCCATCAGAGGAGCTCCACAGTGAACAGCCTAGTCCTCCCCCAGTCATCCCTACAAATGTGGTCAAAGGAAGCTACAGAGCAACATTTTCCCTTCTTGGGTTGCTCCATAAAGACCAGAAAAACATCAAGGGAATACTGGAGAGGGCACGGTTGTAGCAAGAAGGAGCCCTGAGATGCTAGGGAACTAAGAGGACATTTCCAATTCTCTTGTTCAAATCCCATATGCAAATCAGATGTAACATTGGAAATAATAAAAGATGTTGCCATTTTGCAATGGAATCTGGGAAAACTAGAAGAGCCAGTGACCAATCCTACTTCTTCCCCCACGACAGCCTTCAAAGACTAAACCTGGAGCCATGTTCACCAGCCACTGTCAAGATGAGGCGCAGAGCAACAGAGCTACAGAGTTTAGGGTGAGCAGTAGCCTGAAGCACAGCAGGAAGAAATGCTTGCAGGCTGCTCAAGCCAACCAGGTTGTCTCAAAATGGCAGTTTGCTGGCAATTGGGGCAGTAATTCTGCCATTTTTCTGATTGCACTGCTACTTACTGGCCACAAGGGGGTGCAAGCATCCTCCAAAGCCAAATGAAACAGCAGTGTTTTTCCTAATCTGCCATAGAGTAGGGCTCCATTCAGTCTCCCCCTGCAGCGCTACTAGTAAAGGCCATGTAACGGTCAAAAAACATGAAAGTGGCCACATTCACGTGACTTTCCAATAACACACTGTGCTTGCAGCCTGTTCCAGACCCTTTTTTGGAAAGCATACTACTGAGAGACTCCAGTGCCCAGCTTCCTGCTCTTTCTCTCCTGTGCTTCAGATCTCCTGTCTACTGATAACTCTCAGCTAGACATAGACCTGGCCTCTCCACTAATCTTCAGTCCTATATCTGTAACTGTGCTCCAGTGATTGCAACCATCATTTCAAACTCTACACCTCTAAAAAGTCCATTTGTCTTTCTTTACAGGCCAGCTGTCCCTATAGGCTTTCTGCCTTCTCTCACTAATTATAATAAACACTAACACTGCCAGCATGCCAGGCTTTACATAGATTAACTCAATCAATGCTGAAAATAACAACAGTATCTTGTTCAGAATCACACAGCTAAATAATCAGAGTAGATCTGAACCCAGATCTACTCAAAACACTATGCTATGTGGCATTTTGTAGCTGACATCTATCCCACTGAAGGTGTACTTTTATATTTCCAGCTTTCTATAAGTAATCTACATATATGTTGGTGGTGACAGTGAAAGCCCAGAGGTGAGGGGACTCGGCTGAATGCAAGGACCAGCCCCCCATTTCTAGCACCTCACACAGCTCATGGCATACAGCAGGCCTTCAGCACAAAGTTTTGGTTTGATTCCTGACATCCCATTCAAATCACTGTGTGCCAGGTTCAGAGACACAAAGAAGTGCCTGAAAAGTCCAGATATATTTCCCGCCAACAGTAACACAGAGTCTGTGACAGGAGTTGCTATTTTTAAAATAATGAGCAGAATAATCTTGTTTCAAAGTTAAAAAAAAAAAAAGAAGAAGAAGAAGAAATGATTATGAAGGTAATTATAAGTGGAAAAAAAGAGCTCTAAAAATCTTTATCCAAAAACAGCATGGTGAAATAGAAGGCAGAGGAGACAGGAGCGTGGTGAGAAGGGATGAGTGGGACCGGCGCCGGCAGGTGGCCGGAAGGCTGGACAGCCAACTCAGCTGTTGGAGACACCGGACTCTTACTGTGCAGTGCACCTTGTTTTCACAAACCTCACTTGGATTTTCCATGCACCAGAAAAGTCAGAATTACCACCCTGCTAAAAAGATTCTGCTCAGAGCAGAATCTTTGGACTAATTGCAGTTAATTCAAAGTAGTTTCTTGTGCATATGCAGCATGTAGAGAAAACAAACAAACAGATAAACTAAATACAACAAAAATAAATGCTTAGAGTATAAGACCAACTCGTGATTACCAGCAGGGCAGGGGGAAGGGACTAAGGATGGGTAAATCAAGACTAAGAGAACAACTGCATGGTTAAGGACAGAACTGGGCTGAGTCATACACAACCATGCTCATGCCCGAGCTCATTTCCAGTGACACACAGGAAGCTGATAGAATGTTATCAGGCGACGGAATGCCTCTTCAATTTTTACAAAGAGCATAGTTTCCCTTGATATATTTTTTGTTTTTGTGTCTGGTCATATTTAGTGAGTGCCAACCGATGAGGCTATAATGTGCTCCCAAAATAGATGGTCCTGTCTACAGCTGCCTGTGAATAAAGAGGAGGGTACTGGGGGAAGGGTCTCACTCCCAGATTCTGCAGAGTCACAGAAGGCTTCCTAACTGATACCCGGGCTGAGTGAGAGCCAAAGGACGATGAAAAGTGAAACAGGGCCCTCCCTGGTGGAGCAGCGTGTTAAAGCACAGCACAAAGTAGCTAAAGCCTCTTCTGCATGAGTTCGATTCCTGCCTTCCCTGGAGAAGGCCACATGGCGTGGCAGACCTCTCCTGAACCACCCGCTGCTCCCCTCAGCAGTGTACTTCGTCGATCTGCCTGTTCTGCTCCCCACTCTGTCTCTGGTGAAGCCTCTCGCCGCCCCTGAGCTTCTGGCCTGTACCCCAGTTCTGTATGCACAAATAAATAAATCTTAAAAAAAAAAAAAAAGTGAAACAGGAAAGTTGAGAAAGACTGTTCCAGGCATACAGCACAGGCAGTGGGCTGGGAGGAGCGGTACATGGTTTGTCCTTCACGGTGGAGGACACCACCAGGTGAGAGAGAGCGGGGTGCTGGACATTCTCACACAGAGATGTGAAGAGTATCAACTTATACAAACTTGGAGAATATGTTCCAAGTCTTAAAGAATATGCATTTAGCCCAGCAACTTCATTTCTGGGAATTTGTCTTGTGGAAATAATCAAGTCTGTATTCAATGATTTTGCTGCAAGAATGATAAATATGCCACATCTTTCAAAAGCAAAATAACTGAAGCAACCTACGTACCTAAATGTTGAGGGTCAGTTAAACAAACAACAACACAGTCGAAAGTCAAAATATTCTTCCATCATTTTAGGTCGTGATAAATATTAGCATGTAAAAAACAGTCACAATATGGCACAAGAGAAAAAATGTATGGTGTGGAACCTATTTCAAAAACACATGATCAGAAAACGTGCTGGTTTCTAGATTGTGGAATTGTGTTTCCCGCTTCTCTGCTTTTGCTTACCCTTTAGATATTTCTTAATGAACATAAGCCTGTTTTTTTAATAAGAAAATGCATTAGTTATTTATTGACCTTTTGAAAAGATTTAATTGTAACATCATTGAGCTCAGGTGAATTGAGTCTTAGCTCGGCCAACAGGCGCTGAGAGCAAAGAAAGGATTCCTAGAGAGATCTCAACCACACACCTCCACACTCATGCCCACAATCTTCCTCTTGCACATACCTGGACAAAGCCGAAAGGGAAGTAGCGCTCTGTCTGCCCGTGGGAGCCGTGGTGGAAGGTCTGGCGCCAGTCGTCAATGAGTTCGGGGAACATGCAATTGTACAGGTCCCTATGAAAATTCATATTGGCCTCCCCTAAAAAAGAGCCCAAATTATGAGAGGTATTGGGGTACATCACAAAAACAGCCACATATTACTGTCCATGCCCTTACTTAATGGGCCTTTACTTAATGGGCCCTCCTGCAGTCTCTGACCAGCTTTGTGACCGGTTCGGGCCCGCCGTGTCAGCAAGCATGATGCAAACAGGCTTGAAAAGTACCTCAGCTTTGGCATTTGTTTCCTTGTGATATACCCAGAAGCCTGAGACTGCCCTGCAAATGGTAAATCTGAGCTAGCTCCTGCATGAGGAGCGGCCGCATGAGAAGCATGGCGCTCTGGCATGTAGCCCCCGTCAACAGACCTGTGGGAGAGGCCATGTCAGGCCATCAGACAACCTGCCAAACACATAAGAGAACCCAGCAGAAATGGGCTGGAGCAGCCCCGACAGAAAAATAAATGCCCTGATAATTTCCGGAATAAAAAACTAAATATAATTAGCATTGGTTTAAGTCACTAGTTTCTGGGGTGGTTTGTTATGTGGCAAAAGTTAACTGACACAATGGGGCAACAGCATGTGGATACTCACCCTGGTACCAGATCACCCCTTTCAGAGTCATATTATGCAGTGGGTGGATCATGGCATTCCAGAGAACAGACAAAGCCCGCGGACCAGCCCGCGGACCGCGGACAGAATCAGCTGAAGTGGACCTGAAATCAACAAGAGGCACTGTGTTAAGAGAGAGCACAGCTGTGCAGTGCTGATGCCAAACGAGGCACACCTCTAGTGACATCGTCACAGAGTTCAAGTGAATCACTCCAAATTTCACCTCCTGGTTCTCCCCGGGGGACATGTGTCCATCAACTTTTGTGAGTTCCAAGTACGTCATCCCAGTTTCCAGACAAGGCCATTAAAACCAGAGGAGGGGTGTGTTATTACGAGTCTCAGTCGGCCAATCCACGTACTAAACTAGTATTCACCAGACAAATCCTTCAATTTTTTAAAGGCATTTTACTATTATATGCAATGCCATATAATTTTTGCCTTTAATTTTACATACAAGCTTAATTACTTCCTTAAGACAATTGCCAGAAATGTAACTACTAGGTCAAATGGTAGATTTTTTTTTTTAAAGCTTTGAATGTGTCCCTAAATTTCTGTGTCAAGTATGTGTATTAATTTATACTTTTAGCAGATGCACATAAGAATGCTCACTTCCCCATACCATTGGTATTGTCCTACACATGTCCCCAGACATGTGGAAGCCTGGCCTTAGATCTCTCTTGCTCTATAGTAGGCTGTTCTATCTGTCCAAAGTTGAACACCTTCGCTCCCCACAGACAAGCCTTTCCCTCACTCAAGAGCACAAGTCCACCCTCATCCCAGAATTAATGAGGCAATTTCTGTGAACCTGTTAATATTAGTAGCAGAATTTCAATACCTCGACCCACATTCTCCTCACACCCTAAAAGTATTCTTCCTGATCTAGCTTTTCCTAAGTGTGCTTTCAGAATCAGCATGCCATGGTGTTTCTTAGATTACATGTTTATTTGCTCGCCCTGTTAGAATGCTTACTCAACAGAGCACAGTAGCTAAGAACACAGACGCTGAGGCCAGACTTGGCCATTTACTAGTGGGGTCCATGAGCAAGCCTCAGCATCTTTCCCCACCAGGTATTCATGCTATTTATACTTCTAGAGTGTTGTGAGTACAACATGAAGTAACACATGCTTACAACCATGGAAGTACACAGGAAGCTTCTGGTGGCACTATTACTATTATTAAGGAAAAGGATCAAAATTACATCCTGACATATTCTTAAGATGACTGCAGTGGTAATGACAGTGAAAATAACATGTACCTGTGCATGGAACAGTTACAGCGTTCACTACATATCTGGACACATATCACATTCACCTGACTGCAAGGGAGACCATGATCCTTGTCTCAAATTTCCTGGTGAGTTGTCCTCCAGAATGGAGGGTGCTTTCTTACCTTTTTCCAGGGATCCCACAGGCTTCCAGTGCCCTTTCAGATGACCAAGCTTCAATGGGTGTCCCACCCCAGGAGGAGGAGACCAGCCCAATGGGATACTGCAGAGTGTCATACAGGTAACGCCCAAAGAGCCAGCACACTGCCGACATGTACTCAAAATTTCCATGGCCCAAGTTTTCTGTTCAGAGAAACAGTTTAAAAAAAAAGAGTCAAGGAAAAAAGAGATGGGATACAAACTGTGGCAATGAGATGGGCCTCAGTGACGATGTGGGCCATCCTTTACGAATATTCCTCTCTAAGACCTCCAAAATGAAGGACTCACCATCAGAGTCCTGGGCTAGACACCCAGGTTTCTCCATCATTTTTGGGTCCCTGAGAGTCTAGTACTATTAACACTCCTCTCAGAAAGAGCCCACAATAGAGTTAGCCTTAAAAGGACACCCACTGTGCTCTAAGGCAGAAACAAAGAAGAAAGAGGAGAACCGAGCATGGAAGCATTGGAGAGAGATGCTACCTGAATGGCCTCTCTGTGGGCAATGAAATTGAGGGAGTCATCCTCAAAGCAAGGTGGAAGGTGCTGGTGAATGTTGGGAAGAAACATATGAAATGGCCACCATCAGGAATGGGACAGAGAGTTACTAAGAAATGAATACAGGGAGGCTTGACTGACTATAAACAGCTCAGAACCAATTCACCTCAGAACCAAATTCAGGATTCCACCCAGGACACGATCCCATTATAAAAGAGAAAGTGCATGGTGCTGACGTCACTTACTTGGGGTGGGCTTAGACCAATCTAAGTCCACCAGAGACAGGTCCTCAAGCTCCTCCGCTGCTTGAACAAGAGACACGGAGAAGATGCGGACAGACTGGTAGGCAGCAGTGGCAGACAGCTCCTGTGTGGCATTAAATATCTAGAAAAGAAATGGGAATGTCACTTCCTACACCAACCTGGTACCTGGTCAACTACCCAGTACCTCTTAGTCAACACTGCCAACCTCCTGAGTGCTAAGTCTCCAAAATACCAAGATCGAAAGAATCAGCAGAACCAATGATGGCTGGATTAAGTCGCCTTGATGTACTTTGTCCAACAGAGACCACGATGAATCATGACCCCGGAGAAGCCCAGAAACCCATGAAACTATGACCTCAAGAAGCAGGCCTGGATTGGGCGAGAGGAGCTGAGATGTGGTTTAGACTAAAAGAAGATTGAGTACCAACTGGGTTCCTGTGGTATTTTGAAATCGAAATACTCCTCAGGAGAAAGTATCTGATGACATGAAGCCCTCTCAATGACTCCTTTTAAAACCAGAGCCAGACAAGGCCATGGTGAAGTAGAGTTGTATAATTCAGACCACATAAGAGTGTATTCAAAAGAAACACACCCAGCAGATGGAAGTCAATGAAACAAATGAAAGTCAATCTCAAAAATGCCTGTATTCTCACCCCAGTCCTGGCAATCACAGAAAAGCAGGGGAGGTGTGAAATTTGAATGGTGGCCTTGAGGGTGACGATTGACAACAGTTCCAAAAGTCAGACAAAGGAAAGGATCCACCCAAAGACTCATCACTTTTTCCTGAATCCCTTTCTAAAACTTTATCAGTTGCCAAGAGAATGACAGGCAGGGCTTTGGGTATTCCAGGACAAGCATGTTCTTTGTTAGTCCTCTTATACACCATGTATCTGGGAGTGCTTTCCTTTCACCCTTACTTTTTAGTCGTGGTTTTCTTTTCCTAAGAAAAAAAGAGTGTATCATAAATGTGTTATTTTGCTTTTTCATTTGTGTGTTTGTTTTCACTTGCCTCCTCTCTATCCCCCTGGACTATAGTCCAGTTTCCCCAAAACAAAGGGCTAACAGGAGTATCTGGAAGCAGGGTTATCACTGGCCTCAGGGAACAAGGGCTCCAGCTGAGACAAGCTTGCCCCAGCAAGAAGCAGAGGAGGCTGGGACACTTTCCATTGGCCGCTAGCCATGGAGTGTGCAGCTGCCTCTCGTTCCCACCCACCCACCACAGAGAATACAGCTGGCCCTCCAGCCCACAGTGCTAGAGAAAAAGATGAGCAGCCAGAGTGCCCCCACGGAGCATTTTATTGAAATATGCTGCCTTTGGAATGGCCTTTTGGACTTGCCACTGAGCCTGCTGTGGCCAATAAGATGGCCAGATGCGAACGACATGGCGGTCTTGGTCACAATGGGAGCCCCAGCCTGCACTGCGCCCTAGGCAGCAGCAGCTCCAGCCTGTCAGGGTTACTGGTCTTCCCACGACTAAGACGGAGACTGCATATGGTCTCAGGAAAATTCCAAAGGAAGTCCAGAGCCGTGTGTTCAGGATCCTGCCTGGCAAGCTGAACACAAAATAAACATTAAAGAGTAGGAGCAGAAGAACACACTCACAGCACATCCTGGCTGGGAAATTATTTTTCAGTAGCAACACCTGTAAAAAGTCACCTCCCTTGAAATTCAGTTCTGCACTAAGCACTGAGGATTGTATGTTGCTTCCATGGAAACAGTGGATGAAACCACTTTCATTCTCCCACCCACACCGGCTTCCGCACTGGCTGGGAGCTGAAGTGCCTTGTGGCAGCGAGATGCCAGCTTGGGGAGGCAGTCTGGGTGAGCATGCCACTGCCTGAGATCCACTGCTAACACGGTAGGCAAACTGAAGGTCAAAGGGGCGAGGGTGGCTGGTGTTCTCCTACAGAGTTACCAGCACCCGGAACCGCACCCTAAATATTGGCTCGAAAAACCTCCATTTTCCAACTCACTTTTGTGTATTATTTCAATCAAACCTTGAAAGCCACAGAAAGTGTTAACAAAATTGAGGGTAAGGGTGGGAGAAATTCTTGCTGTACCTGATAACAATTACTCCTACAATTAGTATCCTGGCCCAATATCACTGGGCTTTTTTCCGATGGAAGCATTTCCCGGGGGAGATATTGACAGCAAACTTAGGAATAAAGAGATTTCAGGAAGATTTTCATTTAAATGACACTTGGTTTCCCAGCTGATGAAAGGGGAAGCCTTACTCCATCTGCTAAGATCAAATTTCATCTCATCAAACACCTCAGTGTAATTATTTTTCTACCGACTATTCAAATGAGGATGTAAATGAATACGAAGGTATTTGAAGTCATTAAGGCAGCAGCGGCTGAGAGAGAGTTCTGCCTGTCTCCAGGGACCCTGCGGTCACCATCCCAGCAGCTGCTCACTAGTGCTCATTTTGTAACCTTTATACCACATTCTTGAATTAATGAAGAAACATCAAGAATCTATTTCCTCAGGGAATCCTGGCATGGGGTCTTCATGAGAGAGCATGAAAAGGCCCGAGCGTGTGTGTGTGCGCGCGCGCGCGTACACGCATGCTAAAGAACACAGGGAAACTCGAAAAGAACTGGGATTGTGTGAATAATTTCACCTCAACTACAGCACAGTATGCAAGTTTTAAAGTTGAGATTACTACAGCTAACCCAGCCTCCTTTGAAGCTTTTGTTGCAATGTGGTATCATCCCTTCTCTTGGGATTTGAACAACTCTCCTGCCAGACGGTGGGGACCTTGATACCTGTCATTCCTGTCTGACACTGGCCATCTTCTGAGGCTAACTATTTGAAATATCCAAATCTTAAGACCTACCCTGACTTAGGAGGCAGCAGATGAACATTTAGACTCTTCTCCATTTATAAACATCTCACTCAGTGTTATAAATAACACTCAATTTTAAAATTCCACTTTACCCTAACAACAAGATGGGCAACAATCTGCCATTTCCTTCATTTGAATGTGAAGAGTAGTAGGTGAAAGTGGAAAGATTACCTTCAGGAATGGCACATGGAGGAGGGAAGGGGCAGGAGAGACGGTGTGTGTGTGTGTGTGTGTGTGTGTGTGTGTGTGTGTGTGTGTGTGTGTGTGTGTGTGTG